TCAAACTCCCTACAGCTGATGCATAGGGAATCTTTTGCATTTCCTCAATTTCCAAATTTCTCTTTGGGCACTAATTGAGACTAAACTTGTCTCCCTTTAAACTTGTGATACACACAATCATCAACAATATTCATCTTGAAGTCAAATGAGTTTCATACCTTCTGGTAATGGGACAAGTTCCCAATAACCTTATTGTCTTGCATGGACTTATACTTCTCATTCATTGCTTCAATCCACTTTTAAGAGTTAGAACCTTGTATAGCTTGACGGAAGTTAACTGAGTCATCTTCCATTATATCATTATTTTCCTCATGTTCCTAAAGAAATACCATGTAATCATCCGAAATAGCACTTCTTCTTTCTCTAGTGGATCTCTGCAAAGTTATTAGCTCATGATGCACAAGTTCTTGAGGATCTTGAGTTTGTTCTTCATGAACAACCAAATCATCTTGAGTAAGGGGTTCATCAACAATTCCTTGTGGAGGTTCCGAACTTACTTTATCAAAAGTAACTATTTGAATTGGTTCTGAAATTGTTACCGATTCTTCCTCCAAGATAAAGTTCTTAATCTTATTCTTCCCCCCAAACTCAATATCCTCAAAGAACGTAGCAGTTCCCGTCTCAAAAATTGTCTTTAATGTGGGATCATAAAATTTATATCCCCTGGATCTTTCAGCATAACCAATAAAATAACTACTTACTGTTCAGGAGTCCAATTTCTTTTCATTTGGCTTATAAGGCCTTGCCTCAACTGGACAATCCCACACATGGAAATGCTTCAGACTAGGTTGTCGCCCAGTCCAAAGCTCATAAGATGTTTTGGTAGTCGCTTTAGTTGGTACTCGTTTAGAATATAAGTCTGTCATATTTAGTGTCTCTCCCCAAAGTGATTCTAGTAAGGTGGAATGACAAATCATACTCTCTACCATATCTTTAAGAGTGTAACACAAGCCTAAACGTCACAATTTGATGTTACCTGAGCACTTGTGCCATAATTCACTTGAGTGAGTATTTTCAATTTTACATTTAGTACCACATGATTCTGTATTAAGGGTTTCATTATAGGTGGCTACAATATCAAGTAAATACTGATCATCATAAATCAAAAGTGAACCAGTTCCAACAATATCTGAATTAAAAGACAAACTGAACTTATTGTTTCCAAATGAACACAAATAACCTAATTTGTCCAAATAAGAAACTGAAACCAAATTCTGTCTAAATGATGGCACAACAAAAGTGTCTTTCAAATCCAAATAAAAATCAGTACTTAATAACAATTTAAAATGCCCTATAGCTTCAACCTCTACCGATTTTCCATCTCCAACATAAATCCATCTTTCTGAATCAATTGGCTTCCGGTAGTTTAGGCAACCCTTTCTTTTCACGCCAAACATGATATTTAGCACATTTCTTCTTTACGTGTCCAGTCTTATTGCAAAAGAAACATTTGTTTTCTTGAGTTTGTTTCTTTTGTTCTGGACCCTTAGCACCTTCTGACAGTTGTAAGATACCTTAAATTGATTAAACGTTGCAGGAAGAGAAATCAACACCAAATGAATGAGCAAGTCTTCTGAGAGTTCAAGCTTTAGTGCCTTGAGTTTAAAAACAATATTAGACATGCTCATAATGTACTCCCTGATATTTCCTTTGCCTTGATATTTCATGGAGATCAAGTTCTGAAGAAGAGTGCTTGCCTCCACCTTATCGCTTTTTGCAAAGCACTGCTCAATTTCAGCAAGGAATTCTTTGGCACTTGTGATGTTTTCAGAAACAGTGCCCCTAAACACCTCCGGGATGCCACGCTTAATGATCATTAGACTCATGCGATTTGAGTGATCCCACTTCTCATAATCTCTTTCTCGTTCGGAGGTACTTGAATCCGTAGGAGTAGGGGTTGCTCGAGTCCTTAACGCAAGATCCATATCCATGCAACCAAGAACAATATCAATGTTCTCTTTCCAGATCCTTAAAATTTGTTCCATTGAGGACCGGAACAAAATTTAAATTGGCAGATACGTAAACAATTGTAGCTGAATTTAGAACACGAGAAATAAACTAATTATGCTCACATTATATAAAAAATAAATAATATATATTCAAATAGTGGTTTAACCCATCTCAAGACACCCAATGCACCATCAATATCAAGTCTTTGGACAGTAATATTAACTTCTAGAGGTATCTTGTTGTAATAATCAAACATTGACAATAAAGCACGTCCAACAACAAACCAGTCTTTGGATTGATTTATCATCGACAAAGCAAATCCTTATAATTATCACATGTTTATCATTCCAAGTGTATATGTAATTCGGCCAAATATTAATCTTCCTTTGGGCCGACTAATACTCACATGAATATACACAAACACTAACATTCAATATTTTTTATGAACTGCCCAATTCAAGAGAAGTTACTTTGGTGACTTCTTGACTCAATTTGCTCACAAAAAATATTAAACTACCAAAAATTGAATATTTTATTTATATAACAAAACCAAATATTTAATATTTGCAAACTAATTCAAAAGAGAATAATCTCATTAGAATTCTACTAAGGATGAACACCTCCCTAAAATCTCATTAGGGATGAACACCTCATTTGAATAAATCAAAGGATGAAAAGAAGGCCTCATTTTCCACCAATACATAAAGGATGAACATCTCCCTAAAATCACACTAGGGATGAAACAAAGATAGTTCTGAGTCTCTTTAGCATACTCGCTCTAAACCCTAAAAGGGGATTAAACAAGTAATCACTCAAACCCTAATTTAACATCAAATTTTCCTAAAAATAAGAACAAGTCACACCTGTGGAAACATTCACCATTTACCTAATATTCTCCGTGTTGGGAACTCCACAAACACCACCCCCAATTCCAAACCCATAAAATTAAATAAAAACAAAAGATTTAAAAAAGAACAAAGAACCCAATACAAGAAAGATTGAAATTTGAAACATTGTTTCTTTCTCGAGTAAAACTTGAAACTTAAACCGAAATAAAAGGGAAAACCGAAGAAGAAGAAGAAGAATCCATAGCTTCCTCCACGATTCCATCAGCAAGCGTAATCAGATTGGGGATATTACCCCCAAATTTAAATTTTAGGGTTTACGAAAATTAGAGATTATTCTCCACTTAGGGTTCATAAAATTGGGTAATTTGAATTGTTTAAAACAAAATTAATCCTAATTTTCATAATTAGGGTTCTATAAATTAAACATACATGAATCAAATATGGGCTGCTCGATACCAATTGTTGGAAAAACAATAATAATAATAATAATAATAATAATAATAATAATAATAATAATCCTGATTTTGATTCTAACGATCAAACATAAACATAATCCCATACTGATAAACATGTTGTAAACTGAATGCGAAAGCGTACCTAAATTAGCCATAACGATGATGTCTTTGTAGAGCACTATATTGATCTTATGGTCTTCCACCTGAAGAGCACCTGTATTTCCCTCTTGATTTTCTCTCTTGATGGGGATAGAAAGAAAGGAACGAGACCGATTCTGTGTGTGTGCTCCCAGAAGGGGACCATGACCCTTTAGATAACCAGAATTAGGTTAATTACTTAAGTTTTAGTATTTCCAATTTGGCCCCTCATCAAATTAGAAACTGCTCTATGGTCTCTACACAATTTTATTTTTATGACATATGCCTTTAGCCAAAACTTTAATTTAGTCAGATCACTTTATTATTTGGCTTAATAAATAATGGCCCTAACACATTTAAATTATGTATCATATATATACATGACCCAAATTTTGCCAACAGTGAATTCTTTTTAAACTGTATTGGAAGTTTTCTGCTTGTAACAGGTGATTGAAAATTTTTGGGAAGTCCATATTACAAGGGAAACTCTGTCAAAATTTTTGGAAAAATGTGAATTTCTAAGAAAAACCACTTAGGGACTCATACATTACTCATCTGAAAATGGTGATTAAGGATAGGAAGGGTAGTGGTTAGAGGCCCCAAAAGACCCATGCTCGCTACCTATTGTCGGGGATCCCACTGTACAAACTCTCCTGTACCCGACTGTGTTCTTACCGTATATCAATGGTCAATGAGCTACTAGGTTTATATTTGAGCATGGGTCTCAACAATCCCGTTGGTGGATTTTCCATGCCTAGTAGTGTCAACTCCTGGCTACCCCAGTACTAATTTGAGAAATGATTCGGGTCCGCATGCATAAACATTTTAGAAAACATATTAGGATCATGCATCATTAACATCAATCATTTGGAATTTGATTAACTTGTGAATGTTTATGATGTTGATTTTAAAATGATGTATGAACTGTTGTCTTTCTATTTTTTTATTTCCTTTGTACTTGCGGTACTCGTTGGACCTGATCGGTCATTGTTTGAAGAGAGGGGAGATGACACAGATTCCACACCCGGTGAATATGACACTCATACTTATTAGCTGGGAGCCACAATGATGGCAACATGTATTGGGATAAACATATTCAAACTTTTATAGACAGTCTTTTGTAGTATATAGACCTACACGGTACTAGGTAGTAGTCACTCTTTTGTGTAGTTAGCTGCTCTATAGGAAGTATCCTCAATGTTGCCCTTAATATTTTGAAGGACTATACTAGTATTTTATCTATAGGTAATTATGAATGTTTACTTTTAGTACTTTTTAAAATGATGAAATGCAGGAATGGGTTATTGAAAATTTATATATTAATATTATGTAAGAGGGAAAGATTATTATTGGTTTTTTAAAAAAAATTGCTAAAAATTATTAATTCTTCTGATTGAGGGTTTATAAGGTAGAGTGTTACATGAAATGCCACTCGAACCCAGAGCTAGCTGGTTCTCCCCGAAATGCGTTAAGGCGCAGCAATTGACTAAACATCTAGGGGTAAAACACTATTTTGGTGCGGGCCACGAGAGCAGTACCAAATCAAGACAAACTCTGAATACTAGATATGACCTCAAAATAACAAGGGTCAAGGTCGGCTAGTGAGAAGATGGGGGATAAGCTTCATCGTCGAGAGGGAAACAGCCCGGATCACCAGCTAAGGCCCCTAAATGACCGCTCAGTGATAAAGGAGGTAGGGGTGCAGAGACAACCAAGAGGTTTGCTTAGAAGCAACCACCCTTGAAAGAGTGCATAATAGCTCACTGATCAAGCGCTCTTGCGCCGAAGATGAACAGGGATAAGCGATCTGCCGAAGCTGTGGGATGTCAAAGTGAATCAGTAGGGGAGCGTTCCGCCTTAGAGGGAAGGACTCGCGCGAGTAGTGTTGGACGAAGCGGAAGCGAGAATGTCGGCTTGAGTAACACAAACATTGGTGAGAATCCAATACCTCGAAAACCCAAGGGTTGCTCCACAAGGTTCATCCACGGAGGGTGAGTCAGGGCCTAAGATCAGGCCGAAAGGCGTAGTTGATGGACAACAAGTGAATATTCCTGTACTACCCTTTGTTGGTCTCGAGGGACGGAGGAGGCTAGGTTAGCCGAAAGATGTTTATCGGTTCAAGGACGCATGGTGCCCCTGCTTTTTCAGGGTAATAAGGGGTAGAGAAAATGCCTCGAGCCAAAGTTCGAGTACCAAGCGCTATAACGCTGAAGTAATCCATGCCATACTTCCAGGAAAAGCTCGAATGACCTTCAACAAATGGGTACCTGTACCCGAAACCAACACAGGTGGGTAGGTAGAGAATACCTAGGGGCGCGCGACAACTCTCTCTAAGGAACTCAGCAAAATAGCCTCGTAACTTCGGGAGAAGGGGTGCCTCCTCACAAAGGGGGTCGCAGTGACCAGGCCCGGGCGACTGTTTACCAAAAACACAGGTCTCTGCAAAGTCGTAAGACCATGTATGGGGGCTGACGCCTGCCCAGTGCCGGAAGGTCAAGGAAGTTGGTGACTTGATGATAGGGGAGCTGACGACCGAAGCCCCGGTGAACAGCAGTCGTAACTATAACGGTCCTAAGGTAGCAAAATTCCTTGTCGGGTAAGTTCCAACCCGCACGAAAGGCGTAACGATCTGGGCACTGTCTCGGAGAGAGACTCGGTGAAATAGACATGTCTGTGAAGATGCGGACTACCTGCACCTAGACAGAAAGACCCTATGAAGCTTTACTGTTTCCTGGGATTGGCTTTGGGCTTTTCCTGCGCAGCTTAGGTGGAAGGCAAAGAAGGCCTTCTTCTGGGGGGTTCCAGAGCCATCAGTGAGATACCACTCTGGAAGAGCTAGAATTCTAACCTTGTGCCAGGACCTACGGGCCGGGGGACAGTCTCAGGTAGACAATTTCTATGGGGCGTAGGCCTCCCCAAAGGTAACGGAGGCGTGCAAAGGTTTCCTCGGGCCAGACGGAGATTGGCCCTCAAGTGCAAAGGCATCCTCGATCATTGATCCAATTGGAGTACCTCTACAAGATAGATCTCGACAGAAAACTGAAGAGTAACGGCAACAAGCGATTGAGTTTAGTAGTTCCTCATATCAAATTATTGACTCTAAAGATATAGTAATATGAAGAAGACAAAATTGTTTCAAGCAGCGATAGAATCGGAAACACCCTTTGTTTCAAACAGGGGAGGGCGGGTAATTCACATTTCATTTGATGGTCAGAGGCGAATGGAAAGCTAAGCTGTGGTAATTCTAAGGATTCCCCCTGGGAAAAGAGAGATGTCTCCTACGTTACCCGTACCATGTGGAAGTAGCGACGTAATTTCATAGAGTCATTCAGTCTGAATGCTACATGAAGAACATAAGCCAGATGAAGGAACGGGAAGACCTAGGATGTACAAGATCATAACATGAGCGGCAGATTTGGATTCCTATATACCCACTCGTGCCGTACTTCATTGTGCGATATATATAAGATCCATCTGTATAGATATCATCAGCTACATCCAGAAAGCCGTATGCTTTGTAAGAAGCTTGTACAGTTTGGGAAGAGGTTTTGATTGATCAAAAAGAAGAATCTACTTCAACCGATATGCCCTTAGGCACGGCCATACATAACATAGAAATCACACTCGGAAAGGGTGGACAATTAGCTAGAGCAGCTGGTGCTGTAGCGAAACTAATTGCAAAAGAGGGGAAATCGGCCACATTAAAATTACCTTCTGGGGAGGTCCGTTTGATATCCAAAAACTGCTCGGCAACAGTCGGACAAGTGGGAAATGTTGGGGTAAACCAGAAAAATTTAGGTAGAGCCGGATCTAAATGTTGGCTAGGTAAGCGTCCTATAGTAAGAGGAGTAGTTATGAACCCTGTAGACCATCCGCATGGGGGTGGTGAAGGGAGGGCCCCAATTGGTAGAAAAAACCCGCAACTCCTTGGGGTTTTCCTGCACTTGGAAGAAGAAGTAGAAAAAGGAAGAAATATAGTGATAATTTGATTCTTCGTCGTCGTACTAAATAGTATAGTAGAGAAAATAGAAATTGTTTCTTCGTCTTTACAAGAAAAAGGAGTAATTAACTGTGACGCGTTCACTAAAAAAATCCTTTTGTAGCGAATCATTTATTAAGAAAAATAAATAAGCTTAACACAAAAGCGGAAAAAGATATAATAATAACTTGGTCCAGAGCATCTACCATTATACCTACAATGATTGGCCATACGATTGCTATCCATAATGGAAAAGAACATTTACCTATTTATATAACAGATCGTATGGTAGGCCATAAATTAGGAGAATTTTCACCTACTCTAAACTTCCGAGGACATGCGAAAAATGATAATAGATCTCGTCGTTAACGTGCATTTTAACATCAATTTTTAAATAGTAATGCATAAATAAATATTACAAAATTGAATTATTAGTAAAATTAAGTTCAAATCATTTCTTTTAGAATTCATTAAATAATTCATAATAATAATTAAATTATTTTTTAATTAATAATTTAATTAATAATTAAATAAATGAAATATTTTCTTTCATTTATTTGACTCTTATGATAAAGAAGAACCTCTATACAGAAAGAAGCCTTGTCTTTTGGTCAACTGAAAAAAAAAGGTTCATGTCTATTTACAACACAAAGTACAAATAGTAATTGATGTGATTTGTACATAAAAGAAAACAATATGATACTAGAATTTTTTTTTTTTATAAGCAAATAAAATCAATTAAGCTGAGTACAAGGGGTACTCAGAACCCAAAAACAGAGTACATTACAAAGCAGACAAAAGTCATTAAAAAAACTCAAAATACATAAAAACACACTAAACAAAGCAGATCCAAGGATTATTATGCCAGTCTACAAGACTAAAAGATATTCTCATGCCAGCCGAAGAGATCCACTTCCAAGAATATAGACGAATAGAGTCAAGCAACTCCAACCGATCCACAACGCCTTGTTTAAAGACCACACAGTTCCGATCCAACCAAATGGACCAGATGACCGCAACCCAAATAATAACAAAGTATTGGGATCGCTTTTTACTCCTCCCTTAACCACACCAAACAAGAAAAAAGGACACCAAAGAAGAAGGCATAACAAAATTAACACCAAGCCAGCAAAAAACATCCATCCACGTATTATATGCCACCGGACAAAACATAAAAAGATGCACCAGATCTTCTACAGATAAATCGCACATAGGGCACAAAGCAGAATCCAACTGCACTCCATGCCCCTGCAGAAACACCCTGTAGGGAACAGAATTCAAGAAAAGCTGCCAAGAAAACACCAAACATTTGATAGGTGCTTTTAACTTTGAAGTTTCCACATGGCTATAACTTTGTGAATAGAAAGCAGGGAACCCAAAAGGGGAAGACAAATCGGCACTAGAAAAATACATAATAAACCAGAATCAAAATCACTAAAAATTACCGAGAATTTGCCCTGTTTCAAGTGTTGAAGTTGAACAATGGAGACACATGGCCCTTTCCTAGATCTTGCAAAGCCCTAATCTGACAGCAAACCCGCGCTCGCACGAAGGCTCCCTTCGAGCCCTAATCTGACAGCAGACCCCCACCCCTGCAGTAGTTATTGAGCATCTGATCAGAAATGAGGATCCTGACCTTGCTTTGGAAGCACTTGTTCAATGTTCAACTGTTCTCTTCTCGAACAGAAATAACAAAACCGCCTTCCTCAGATATTGACATTTGATAGATACTAGAATTTATACTTTATTTAGTTGAATATCTTATTTTATTCGATTTTTTGAATTATTTATTTTACAGTAGTCGATGCTAGTCACAATAGAAATTTCAACAAACTTAATGAGTTATAAAGATCTATAGATAGAAAAAAGAAAAATACAAAAATAAAAAATAGAATTTGGAGCATGTTGATTAGAAAGTAGTGAGATAAAAATATTTTTTGTTTAACATGGGGACAGACACCATCACCAACATAATAATGTATATACAAAATGCTGACATGAATAAAAAAGGAATGATTCAATTACCTTTTACTAATATTACAAAAAAGACTGTAAAAATACTTTTACGAGAGGGTTTTGTTGAAAACGTCGAGAAAACATAAAAAAACGAAAATTATTTTTTAGTTTTAACTCTACAAGTATAGAAGAAATAGAAAAGAATCCTATAAAAGTTTTTTAAATTTAAAACGAATTAGTACACCAGGTCTACGAATATATTATAATTATCAACGAATTCCTCGAATTTTAGGGGGCATGTGGATTGTAAATCTTTCAACTTCTAAATGTATAATGACATATCGAGAGGCTCGATTAGAAAAAATCGGAGGAGAAGTTTTATGTTATATATGGTAATCTTTCGAATATCCGAATTATATGAGAAACTTCCACTCCATTTATGTAAAAAGAAAAAAAAAAGAGAAAAAGTTTATAATAGAACTTCACCCCTCAAATATATATATTTGTGAGTGTAAGAAGGGATTTATCTGGAATTCTAATATAAAAAGGGGAAACTCACGAAGATTTAATTTCTAAATAAATAACTTATCCATTTGGATTTTTATTTCTATTATAGGCTATGTTTCCAAAATGATTCAACATACTTTTTCTGGACATACGATAAGGAAAGAAAA